GGGGGGGGGGGGTTTGGCCATGGGTGACGTCGCACATTAATTTTTAATAATTTTATTTTAATTTTTTTTTTTTTAGTAGAATTTAATAGCTTTAAAAATAATGTTCAAAAATTTTGTGCAACTTTTGAATTATTTTTATGTCAAAATAGCATGAAATGCGTATCTCCTGAATGTGTTGTTCATGATTCCTCTCACTTGGAGCCCTAGTGTGCTGTTCCGAAGCCTTGTTTTATGTATAGCCTTGTCGAGATCAACAGGAGTTTTCAAAGTACAGCTATATGATCTTTATTTTCCATCTTTGCAGACCAGCTTACTTGATCGAATTTGCAAAGTATGTCACGTATACTTTCCTCACAAACAATGTCGAAGAAACATGCAGGACAACATAGAGCTCGGTCTTGGGAGAATGTGCCAACCCAACTGTTCCAGAATCAACTCAGATAAAACGCATCAGTCCTTTGAGAATCGCTGCTAGAAGGCAAAGAGAACTCATGGGAGTTATTGCCAGAAGAGAAAATGCACATTCAGAGGATGTTGAGTGGCTAGATGAGGATGAAGTTGATCTGTCTGCAATTATCCTTCCAGGAAACGATGATGGTGAAAGATTGATGCCAGTCGTAACTATGGATGACACTTCACCTCACCATGGATGGATGATGTCCAGTGAATATTTTTGAATTAAACATAATTCACAAGCCCATAAAAACAGATTCAATATAGCACAAGAGTTTGTCACATAATTTGTCAATCTAGTCTTTTTTTAGTGAAATTGTTTTGTTTCCTTTTTATCCTCCCATCTCCATTTCATTTCACTCTTTATTTATTTGATTATCAAAGCCGCTTAATTAATCTAAAGATTAAATGACGTAACACAAAAATCCTACAATTTTTTTCCAAATAATATTTATAATACAAAAACATATTTTAAAATGAGTTTTTTCTTGGGCTCAGAAGCATGCCCCCGTAGTAAAATTTTCGTTCTCCGTAGTTCATTTCGGCTTCGCTATTTCTGTCCACGTGCGAGCTATCTAGGTTCAAGGTCAAGGTCAAACACGGCGGCGTTTCCTCTTCCGGTGTGCTCTTAGAGATCCACGAGATAACCCTTTCCGTGTACGTCTCGGACGAGGTGAAGTCGAGGGTAAATTTGGATTCCTGCTGCGGCCTCGCTGTTTGGCACAAATGACGAAAAGGACGTTCACGCGCGTGGTCTTGTGATGTCACCACTTCGCCGTGATCCCACTGAAAAGAAATGACGGTTGCACGGGTTAATAAAAATTTGCAAATATTAAGAACCAGTTATGGGAAAGTTTGAAATATGGAACAACGCTGTACTTTGGACGTTTCGGTTGAGAGGCTTCCGGTGCATTGTTTTGTTCTCTATTTTAAGCTTTCCTATTTCCCCCCAGCGTGTTCTTCCCATTTCCCATATCTTGTTCTTCTCATTTCCCATATCTTGTTCTTCTCATTTCCCATATCTTGTTCTTCTCATTTCCCATATCTTGTTCTTCTCATTTCCCATATCTTGTTCTTCTCATTTCCCAAATAGTGTTCTTCTCATTTCCCAAATAGTGTTCTTCTCATTTCCCATATCCTGTCTTCCTCACTCATTTCCCATATCTTGTTCTTCTCATTTCCCATATCTTGTTCTTCTCATTTCCCAAATAGTGTTCTTCTCATTTCCCATATCCTGTCTTCCTCACTCATTTCCCATAGCTTGTTATTCTCATTTCCCATTTCTTGTTCTTCCCATAGCTTGTTCATATTTCTTCACATTGCCTGAAAGCAGTCTCCACAATATCATCATAAAAGTTTTCCGAGAGAAGACACTATGTTGTGTTTTAACTTCATACCAATGTACCTGCTAGGTGAAATACACTATATAAGTGCGAGGGTGCGAGGGGGGGGGGCGTGATGGTAAGAATAGAGGAGCAATTGTCTTTAAAGTTTGTGATAGAAATGCCGTCGTTTCTTAAAGATATTTTATATATATATTAAAGGGTTTAATTTTATGTTTACAAGACGCGTGTTTTTTCTTCCAAGTTTTGCAGTTGTTTTTATCATTTCATTAATTTTTAAGAAATTTTTTTTTCTTAATTTTAAAATATATTGCTTCTTTTTGTAGGGGGTGTAAGTCCTAGTCAAACAATACGTAGGAGTTGCGGTACTTAGTCAAACAATTCCTTTTTTTTTTTTTTTTTTTTTTTTTTTTTTTTTTTTTTTTTTTTTTTTTTTTTTTTTTTTTTGGTTTTTGGGGGGGGGGGGGGGGGTGGGGGGGGTTGGGGGGGGGGGGGTCTCAGAATAAAGAAGAGGTTGGGGGAACACTGTTTTATGCGACCAAATGCTGTGTATATTAGATGTGGATTTATGCTAATAACTCATTTCACGTGTCTAGCCACGCCCTCGCAATTGACGCGTCCACGCCAGCGCCCCGCAGCCGTCATTAAATTACCGCCAGTTCTTGTTCCTGGCTAGTGCTGGTCCAGTCAGATTCTGTGGTGGACGCCACACAGTAGCACGGCGCTACCGCGGCGCAATCGTTTTGTAGAAACGGCGGCGGCACTCTCTTGTGTGTTGGTTCTTCCTGGAATCAAAAGGTGCAAGTGAAGGATTTACATACGACCTGCCAATCGTGGTAATAATTTAAAAAAAATAAAAAAAACCAACCCCAGACAGTGCCATACAACCATGCAATAAATGTACGTTTCAAAAATAAATTTAAAAAATTTAAAAAAAAAGAACTGGTATTTTTTTTAAAAAAAAACATGAAAAA